GCACATACATATATAGCCCATGTAAGGGAGTACACCTAGGGGAGCCATGATCATAATTTCTCATGTCTTTTACTCTCATCAACCATTATGCTCTTGATCAATACCCTCAACAAAATTTTAATTTAACCTTATTGTACCTTTTTTAAATATTTTAGCTGCATACTAGGTAAGATTGGCTGAGCCATTGTTTGTATTTTGGCGAGGAACTGCCAAGTCAAAATACCTGTGGTGAGACCAGATGAGCCTAATATGTCACTGAACTGGATCAAAAAGGTGCAATTGAACCCACCCAATGCAGCCATAAATCTGGCCAAATCAGGTAAGTGACTTGCTATTGGAGCTTATCTGGTCAGTAGAGATGTCTCCTAACAATATTATTGACTAATTTTTAATTCCCTCTCAATGACTGAGATTACCCGTGCCATATAAGCAATGGGGTATGACATTTGCTGACTGCAGACAACATTTCGTCCTAAATTGCACTCCAGTTAGCCTGAATATCACTCAGGTCACCCTAAACAGTGTTCAGATTAGCATTTTTATGGTTAGCTCTCGGTAATGGAAATGGTAATACTACATTAACTAAAAAATTATTCTGCAGTCGGCAAATGTCATACCCCGTTGGAAATTTGGGCAGGGTAATCTCATGTCACGTCTGGCCAGGTTTGGTGCGGTTAATCCTAAAACCAATAGATTGCATTTTACTTTTTTTCTTTTCAGCTACAGACGCACAGTGGACATTAAAATGTGGCACAAACATTAGCGATCCAGTAAACTTCTTCTCATGATCAATGTCTTATTCGTGCCACATTTTTACGTCACCTCGTTAATTTACTCGCTCAATTACTAGCTTATATATGGCTTGAACATCATACTAACACAATTGGAGTCTTTCCTCGTGTTCCACGGAAACTTTCCCCGCTCTCCCAACTTTAGAGTTAAGTTGAACCACCATCTCTTCTATCTTTTTAGGAGGAGTACTTCCTGACCAAATTAGAAGGACGGCTTGACTCTCTTTCACCTCTTCAGCCATGTTTCTGCTTAGTACGTATTTCTTTCGTGCATTGCTTACATGACGGCTATGTCTGATTCTCAGCTCCAGTCCTCTCCGTCCTACGCACGATATCCAAGATGGCCGACATAGAAGGGAAGGTCGTTGAAAGCAAGCGGGCAAGAAAACGTAAAGCCAAAACGGAATCAAGAAAACAACATGAGGTTGGCATTATATTTTTTATCATCTGACTATGGCTCTACAATAGACCAGCTTATCAAGAGTCTGATGTCTAACATTAAATAGTCAATTCTGCCTTCGCTCCCACTGGCCCATCATGCTAGTGCTTATCTCGGATGTTTCTACCTCACGGGCGTAGATTGAGGGTGACTTCCTCTCGGGTTCCTAAACGAANTTGCATTTAAAATGCTATCCATCATCACTATAAAGAAATAGCATGTACAAAGTTACTGTAAGCTAATAATCAGCCATTTAGTATCGTTAACGATTTCCACATGTCTGTAATGTGCTGAAGTACAGTTCTACATCATTAGACCACGCCCAGTGAGTATTTTTAGTGATCCTGTATTAACCAGCCAGTTCCTCAAGTCCCAAGGGTCGCCATTGTATACAGGTTCAACTGTATTTGATTGTGCTGGTACAAAACAAACTGAAATTGTTAATTCAATTGTTAAAGTGTTGCAGATATTTGTTCAGGTATTTAATTCTTGTCAATGTTGTTTGCATTTCTTGTATTATTTCAGAAAGTTCCAAAGGTGAAAAATATCAAAAACCCAGGATTTGATAATGAACTTTTAAAAGAAACCACATGCTACCTAAGAAATGGTGAGGGTATGGTATATTATTTAAGAAACAGAGAACATTCCTGGTGGTTCTATTGAATCAATAGAGTGTCTCTGTTGAGGAGGAACCATCAGTTGATAGTTTCCCATAGAAATTTGACGCTCTTAATTTAACAAATATTTGCCCAAAAAGTGAAGCTTCGAGGGCAAATATACTACTTTAAGAACATCAAATTTCCAAGGGGCAACCAGCAGACCGATAGTTCTGAGACATAAACACTCTATTTTCTTTATTGTTAACCACTAAATTTTTCTTCTGTGCATCAGTTCAAAAATCATATTACATACATTGCATTGTTTTCAACTTTTTTTATGAAAGGCAGGAAAGCCAAATGTAAAATTTGAGAAAGAAAATAGACAAAAACCCACTAAACGCAGATCAATTAAATTTTTATTCATGTATATAGTCGGTTAACAGCAAAAATTTTACGGACAAGTACTGTCCATCTGGATATTTTCTTCAGACAGCCACTATGGGCTGATAGTGTCTCTCTGCTGATGAACACTATCACATCACACGACTGATTGAAACCAATAAGAATCAGAGAAAATTTAGTGGTGAACTATCACAAGTTATAGTGACACATGTTGAAATTTGGGATAATGAGTAATGATGTGGGCACACAAGCTGTAGGAGTTGTTTCCACAGCATTGTTGTCCCAAACTTTCTATTTAAGGATGGTGCCTGCCAAGTAAAAATTAAAGTCAAATTAGGACTTTGTGGATGAAGAAGATTTCAGCAAGAGCTGTTGAAATCCAAAAAGAAAACTGTGGACCAGCCAAGAATTTTTCAGATATACTAATATTAGCCCTGAATCTTGAACAAGAACATTGGCATCAGTTTACTTCTAAAAGACTGGAAAAGTATTTCTTCCCAAAGCCTAAGTTATAAAATAATACAAAAGCAAAAATATTTATAGAGATCTTTAAAATACATGAAAAATAAAATATATAATACATAAGAAACATTGTACAGTAGCTGCAACCAGGTTCAAATCAGATCATTCAATTGAATCATAGAAAAGAGAACATGTGCAATATTTGAACCATCTTGTTAGTGATCAATGAACTTTTTACCGATGCCATGCTTTTCCATTTTTTTTCTCTTTTCATTCAAACAAGAAAAAGCCTCATGTCTCGTTTTATCATGCTGAATTTAGTAAATGTAGGGGTTTCATAAGGATCCATTGGACGTTTTTTTCTGACAATAATTTCCAATCTACAAAGAAATGTAAAAATTGCCAAGTTTGGGGTCACCATGTCAATGCAAATTGTAGTTACTAGTTGTGAGTAGGTGAAAGTTGGAGTTAAGGGTTGGGAGTTTGATTTACCAGTTCCCGCTTTTCTTAGCCCAAATTAAAGCTCAGGAATCACTTTGTTTATAATACTACCAACCTGTTTAATATACAACTAGATTTTGGCAGCTCCATTGTGGCCTGATTAACAGGGCTACACTGTAAAGTCCGGTGAGCTTCTCACCCAGACAGTGCTACTGCTACGCTGATTCCCTTGTAAGTCTGGCTTTACTCAGTAAGAGCACAGCTATTCACTGGAAAACATCGCATGTGGCTGATAAGGTTTTTTAGTTAGGAATGAATCAAACTCCTCCACCTTAAAATTATTTAGTTTTTATTAAACCACCAATGCCTCAACCTTTGTCCAATATCTTAGATTTTTGGTAATTGGGTAGCAGCTCTCACAAAGTCTGCCATCAGTGGCTTGAAGCCCTTTAAGAAAGCAAACAAAAGAAGCAAAACAAGACAGCTGCTACACTATAACAACAAACGGAATTACAAGTTTATGAGAGCTGCTACACTTCCAATGTATGAGTCAGTAAGTTATACAATTGAAGCTGTAAATAAATATTCATTTAACCAGCCGTACATAACTGAGTTGAGTGTGGGATGATCTGATGTCACATCTCTTCTTTATAATCTGCTAAAAAAGTGCACCTTTTTTGCATGGCAAGTTTTTTGATGTATTTCATTTGTCATTTCTTTAATGTTAAGGTATTTAATTACAATAATTTTACATACAATTTCTAAAGTTTTGGTGTCTGGATGTTTACAGGTTTGCGATGTGTTCATCCATATTACTTCACATTCACCACCTACTGCAAAGGACGCTGGGTGGGACGCAGCTTGATTGATGTGTTTAAGGAAGAGTTTCAATCTGAGACACAGGAGTATTACGTCAGTATAGTTATAGCGTTAACTTGTATCTAGCTACAGTACATGAATGTCTTGGAGATAAATCAAAGTCTCCTTGTATATAATATCAAGGGGACTGCATTGCTAAATCTGGGGTTCCATCCCTGTCGAAGTTCAGGTTCTTCTGAGTGTGTAAAAAAGCTTACTATTAAATGGCCTCTTACAAGTCAGGGACTTTTGACAAAGTTCACTTGAGTGTTTTATTTTAAATATTTTTTTACAACACTCACTAGCTTCTGAGAACAAATTAAAACTGCAAAAATATAGTCAACTAAATATTGCTTTCAACTGTAAACCTTTGCTCACTGATGTGATGTTATACTGTTCACCCCACATAACTAGTCATCATAGAGATTTGGCTTTGAATCCTACCTGGTCTCAATCTCTTCCTTTGTAAGTTGCATGAAGTTTAGTTGTATACCTTACAGCTGTACCTTTATGAATGCTAATAAACCAAACACTGACAAGAATTAATTGTGGTATATATTTTAGCAGATGCTTGGTAATAGCACAAGTTATACAGTTTGAGTTTGTTTTCAAATGCATAACTTCTATTCCAAACTAATCTTACTAGTGATCAATGTTAGGCTCTAACTTGCTGTTAAATATTTTTCCCACAGGAGAAAGCAATAACGGCTGGAAAAATAACAGGTGCCAATCAAATGATAGACTAAGGTGCATGTTAGCCTAATTATCAAGTTAGTGTTTGCATTTGGTGTTCTTTTGAAGAAGTCTGTTAATAGACTTTAATTCACAGAAAGAAACAACAGAAATATGCTAACATGTGGACAGTGTATTATGGCTGTCTAACAGAAGAATAGTTAAGAGAAATTATGAAAGATAAGAATATCACAAAATAACTCAAGATCTCTGTAGTATAAACCATGGATTTTTTTTTAACATTAGGATGTAGTC